ATGCAGACTCTGTCAGACTGTGTATATGTATATATGAGTATCATATTCCTTGGGGAAGGTTAGAGATGGAAAGATGAAAGTCCTACCACCCCTTTTGCACAGATGCATAGCTGTAAGGATGTCACAAATAATTGAATTCTGGCCCAGGAGGCAACAGCAATGGTTTAATGCTTTAATGCTTAGAAAAAGAAAAATAGAAAGTGAATAACATTTGGGGATTGATGATATCCATGAAAGAGGTTAGCTATAAATATATAAACAAACCTCTTCTTCCCTTTGATGCAGTTGCACATAGCCTCATTTTTTAAGTACTTGATGGAAAAACCATAGTGACCAATTAGATTATCTCTTTTATTTAGCCACATGTTTTTGGAAGAATTAGAGGATCAGCTTAACTGTTCAGGACAACAAAAATAGTTTGAAAAATTAAACCCACTGAGGACAATTTACTAAATTATGTGTTTGCTTTTTACCCAATCTTTGTGTAGAAGTTCTTATTGTAATGAAATTGGGCTGATTAATGCAATTTTCACTTTAAATGGGAAATTTCCCCTTAGTTTAGTGAATGAGGCAAAGCTCTGTTGACTTCCATCATCCAAATATGTGCAAGAAAAAATTCAGTTTTTTTTTCTTTTACTTGCACGTGATAGGGTATTCTTTGCAAAGTGAATTTTCACCACATCCACTAACCTTATGAAAACTTCTCCTGCAAAGTGCAAATTCTCCTGCAAAGTAAATAGCCTATTTGCCTTTAATAAGTCAACCCCATAGTCTTTATTCTATATATGTACATTTGTAGTAAGAACATTGGGTTAGTGTAATAACTATATCAATATTTACAGTTTGTGCAGGATTTCTGCTGTATTAAATCCTTTAATATCAGTGATATTTCAGACAGTGTCATATAATTAAGATGAAAAGAATGGAAGAAAGAGGGAAGCCTTTTTGGTTTTCTTATTTAACATGCACATTATCAGAAACCTGTATATTGAATGGAAGTGAATGTGAAGAATAAAATATAGCACCTAAGCTGACCCGAAGCCACACAAAGCCATCTGATGAACGGCTGATTTCGGCCGATATAGGGCTGGAATCAGCTGTACCAGCCTGAAGTGAATAGCCGAACAGCGTTCGGCTCACTTCGCTTGGGGTCGGTTAGTCACTCGACTGCCTACGGCAGCTTAGTGAATAGACCCCTAAGTAATTCATGAAAGCTTTCAAGATGAGGGTTACAACAATTGCTATCTGCTAAAATTGTTACATTTTGCTTGAAACCTCTGCATGCAAATGCAAAAGTGGAAATTCCACACTTTTAATGTGCCACAGTCAGATTCTGGGATCTGACTGTGAAACATCATTCTTCTCCATATACTGTATAAACACATTGCTTCTTAGACATACGAAAATAAATTTGTTCCCATAATAACTTTTTCTCTGCTGCAAGTGTTATGATCATTTGTAGCTTTGTGAAAACTCAGAACGATGTAATTGATAAAACCAGTGAAAAGGGGAGGAAATTGGGCTAGTAAAAAAAAAAAAAAGATTTGTTTTACTTTACCAACTGTTATAAATTATATTCAGACTTATAAATGTACTCATACAGGCAAGATGAAAACAAAACAACAAAATATGATCCACAATTATTAAAAAAAAGGATTTTTAAGGTTTCCTGCAGGGAGAGAATGGTGTCAGGAGTATTTTCAATGTATGAAGACATAAATGCTTACAGCATATGACCATGTATTTATATGTGTTTGCTGGGAGTATATATAGAACATTCAGAGATATCACTTGTTGTACTTATTTATACATTCCAGCAGCTATATCCAGGTTATACTGTTTGTTGCCATACATTTATGCTGTATGAAGGTCATACATGTATATAAAAGGCACATACAAATTAGATGGAAATGACTGTCTTCTGCCTCCATTTGCACTATATCCTGTGACAAGGCTCTCGTGAGAATCACTGATGGCCTGTGCTTCTCAGCTTAGATACAAGAAGCTTAGCAAGCATTTTAATTCCTTGTATTTCCATTAAATGTTATATTTTTACCAAAGATTGGCTTGGTGGTAACTTGTTATGATTAAATGGAATTTGAATGTAATACTTCTTCAACACCTTTTTACATGATTTACTGTAACTTATTAAAAAATAAAGTATCAAGTTTGAGAATTTGCTTAAATTAAGTTAGGCCAGTGCCAGATAGATTCTAATTAGTTGGTTTCTGCACAGTACTTTGCACTTAGGGGGTTTGCTTTTTGAACTGTTGTATTGAATAAGTCTGAATATATGTGCTATGGGAATTATATGTTCTTTTGACCCTCAAAAAACAATGATAATTAGTTTGGTCTTGTAGTGCCACAGTTTTCACTTCCTGCCTGATACAGCTAATTACAGTGTTATTTAAGGAATGTGACATGGGTTGCAAATATTCATAAAAGATTCATAGGGTAAATGTATGAATTTTTAGGTGCAAAGACCAAAATGTCATGCTAACTAACGGCAAATGTTTATTTCTGTTATGCATCTGTTTTTTAAATGTTCTTGTTCATGTTTGTGACTCACTGGACATATTTTCTGCCATTTTGCACAATTTATCAACTGCACGGTATTTATGTCCAGCATTTATGACATTAAAAGGCCTCCAAGTTGGTGCACATTCTAAAAGTGCTCCTGAGCACTTCTTAAAGTATCACAAAGATATTTCACCTTCACATCCTTAAGTCTAGGAGGTTCCCCACACTAGGTGATATCTGCACTATGCACTAGAAATCAGGGATGTAACAGTTTAAAAGATGTTGGTGATTGATAAATTCCACCCAAGTTTATAAATTCCCCCATAGTACTTTGTGAGTTTCTAATTTTTGGATATGTACAATAGGCATGTTTTTCCACTGATTA